AATATGCAATGAAATATTTTGCATATGGCCGAAAACGCAAAAAAAAACGCTAAATTGCATAACTCGTAAATTTAGCAAAACAATTAACTAAAAACATTTTCCATTCAACTCACGTCCGGTAAATATCCGGCTGGAAATGAAATTACGTTCCACGCTGGCGCTGTTTTTTGCGCTAAACCTGGCGGGGCAGTAAACAAATTCCAGTTCAATATATTTAATTCATTCATTTTAGAGATGTTTCGATTAAAATGTGCCTTTGCCTTTTTTAATCTTAATTAAGGTGTTATAGCCTATTTAAAATTCAAACAAAATTTTAATACTAAAAATAAAAGCTCGTATTTGAAAATAGCGCTTCGAAAAATTACGATATAAAAATAGTAGTGTAAGTAATGTTTAAATTCATATATTGGATAAGATTCTGCCAAACTTGATGTGTTCAACGCCATAAGCAATTACATATCCCACACCTAGATCTAAAGTGCGATCAACTCGAATACAATTTTGCGCGATTTTTTTGCATAAATAAACTAACAGTTATAATTTCGAGAAAGTAGAGAATTTCGTTTACTTGGGAACCAGCATTAACACCGATAATAATATCAGCATGGAAATCCAGCGCTGAATCATACTTGCTAACAAGTGCTACTTTGGACTAAGTCGGTAATTCAGGAGTAAAGTCCTCTCTCGACGTACCAAAAACCACACTCTATAGGTCACTCATCATGTCGGTGCTGGCATATGGCGCCGAAGCATAGACAATGACAACGTCCGATGAGACGGCTCTTGGGGTATTCGAAAGGAAAAAGGAAATTATTGATGGTCAAAATTTAAAAATTAAGAGAAATATGTTTTTTTTTTTTTAATTTTACCCGATAAAAAATCCAAAAAGCCAAGTCCGATAATATATTAGTATATACCATTTTAAAGGCTAATATATGCTATTCTCAGATAATATTCGATCTTTGAAATGGAATCAAAAATAGTCATTCAAAAACTTATAAATCTACAAAATCGTATTTTCTGACATAAATCGACAAGTGACGACCTCTAAAAAATCTATAAAAATAGGCAATAATATTTGTCATAAAAACGAATCAAATTAGGGGGTAGGGTCT